GAGTTGTGAAATTCCACAGACAGCTCTTTCAACTGCTGTGCCAGTTTTGCTTCTCAAATCAAATTTATCTGCTCTAAACAGAGTCTTGTGGTTCCTTGATGAGTCTCAAGCATTCAGAGGGTCTGTTTCTAAACCTCCTGGCCATTAATAACTTTCTGGAAGCTCATCCAGAGGGATGATGGTGTACTCTGGTGCTTTTCTATTCTCCCTGCGCTCATCTTTTTGCAGGAACGTCTCCACCTCTAGCGCCTTCTGTTGGTCTGAGGAGTTAGTCTTAGTTTCTAACTGGGATACCTGGCTTGGGGTTGTAGGACTCACTTGTCTCTGGTAGCAATAGCAACGCAGATAATTGCCAGTGCTGCAACACCAACAATACAAGCAAGGATAATCATCCAACCTGGAGGTATGGAAGAATAGGAATTAATAAGAGAGGCTGTCTTAAATCAAAGTTTGACCATGTAAACATCTCTTTTATTAAGTGCATTTTTTTCTGGACTCACCTGGTGTCCTGTTTTCTTTGTTCTGGGGTGAAGGAGGATTGAGAGATTGGTCCACAAAACGTTCACCAACTAAAGACATGCTGGCGGTTGATAATGTTGTGCTTGTTTCTGTTCTGGGTCTAGATGTTATATTGGAGGGTGTAGCAGGATACTGGTCTAGCATCTCTCCATCTCCGGATCCTAAACCAGAACTAAAGGTGTCCAGGAACTCAAAGCTGTCTCTTGGCAGACCTGACATTCCTGACCCTGAATCTGATCCTTCAGTTCCTGCAACAGTTGGTGGAGCTGTGGAGGTTGATAATGCTGTGCTCGTTTCTGTTCTGGGGCTAGATGTCATACTGGAGCTTGTGGAAGCATACTGGTTTAGTATCTCTCTATCTCCAGATCCTAAACCAGAACTAAAGGTGTCCAGGAACTCAAAGCTGTCTCTTGGCAGACCTGACATTCCTGACCCTGAATCTGATCCTTCAGTTCCTGCAACAGTTGGTGGAGCTGTGGAGGTTGATGGTGCTGTGCTCGTTTCTGTTCTGGGGCTAGATGTCATACTGGAGCTTATAGTATCATACTGGTTTAGTATCTCTCCATCTCTGGATTCTAAACCAGAACTAAAGGTGCTCAGGAAGTTAGAACTGGAGAGAGCAGGGTCAGTAGTTTGGGAGACTGACATGTGGTCTGGGGTGACATGTGACTGGATTTTATTTGGCAGTGATGAAGTGACAAAACCAGACTGAAGACTTTTGGTGGTAAATGAATCTGATCTGGAATCTTCAGTGTCCCTCAGCAGCATGGTGGAAGTAGAGCTCTGAGAATGTGAAACAGTCTCAGATGTGGTTACATAGTGATCACCCGAAGGCTGGAGGAAGACGGAGGTCATGGAAATGTCAATATTTTTCACTACAGGACTGCCATCAATTGTATCAGTCTCTTTGGAGTTAAAGGACAGCTGCTTGGACGCTTGAATGGTTGTGTTTCTTTTAGGTGATTTAGTTGTGACATAGAGGATTAAACTGTCAGGGAAAATTTCTTGTATTATGTCTTCTTTAGTTGTGAGAGGAAGGAACTTTACATTCTCATGGCGAACGTCACCCTCAGCTTCGGTGGGAAACTTGGCCACAGCTAATACAA